TAATAAGTGCGACTTATGGAAAGACTGGAAGCAGTACGAATACGAACGATCTGCCTGCGGCGGCCATGGGCAGGATCAATGTCTTGGAGTGACAGCAATGCGGCAGGCGGCATGTCACCAAGGGACACCGTGTGCGAAGGCCTTCCGAAGACACTGTGTTGCAGGGCCGCTGCGCGCCTTGCTGACCCTCATGAAAAGGCGATAATAAGCCATATGGATAAGCAACAAACTACATAGTTGAAACATGTAGCACGTGCATACACGCAGGTATATATGTGAACATACATGCGTACATCCATCTATCCATCCATCCATCCATCCATCCATCCATCCATCCATCCATGCACACTGCACAATTGCATAGCTGTTTACGCACGTGGTACGTACACATATACACATATGTTTACACATGTGTGCGTATGGGTGGGTGTATCTAAGTATGTGAGCATGAAAGTATGCATATACGAACGCAATTATGGGTGCACGCAAGTGTGTATGTCTGTATGTCCGCATGTCTGTCTGTCGTTCTGGGTACACCGTTTAGATCGTTCATGCTTTATGTGCGCACGTGTTGGAGTTGTATGTATGTTATGTATGTTATGTATGCGTGGATGCAGTGCAAATACAATGCCAGGTCAGGTGACGTGCAGTCCTGTACTGTAATCTCGCGCGACGTGATGTGATATGCTATGTGGTGTGATCTACCGTGGTGTTTTGTAATATACAATCGTGTAACAGAATGGAATCACTGCATGCATGCATGCCTTCATGGATGGATGGATGGGTGGATGCCCGTCTGCCTGCCCGCCTACCTGCCGGAATGTATGTCTGCATGTATGTATGTGTCTATGTATCTATGTACATATGCGTGCTTGCATGCACGTAAGTAAACGCAAGCATGATACTGCAATATGTTGATGTGGTATCTATGTATGCATGCATGTATGACGATGTATGTATATTTTATGGATGTATGTAATGTGTGTGTGTGTGCGCGCGATGTGTAAGTATCTTTCTGTCTGTAGATATAGGTATAATATACCGGATAAGGAGGTCAGGTAGGTATGGATATAGACAGGCCAATGTTTACACACGTACCGGATTGAGAGAACGTAAGCGTTCCCTGCAGGCTTGGGCTTTGACGACGGTCCAGTGCCCAAGCTTGTTGTGAATGCACGAGCCTACTGAGTCTACGTGGGATTGTCGACATTGCGCACCGTGTTCGCAGTGACCTATTCGCAGCATACCGAGCCCCGACTCCTGATCTTACACGCGAGTTGCACAGACTCCAAAAGCACCGCCATGCTTACCCGGTTTCTAAAAACGCCGAAGTCTCACCTGGGTTCTCGACTGAGGTCGACTTACCACGGAGGGATCCTCGCAGCCGCAGAACAGCCCAACTCATGGTGCGCCCGGTGTAGCTAGGCAGCTAGGTCAGCTGAGAGCTGAGTGCCTGCAGACTTTCGAAAGCTCGAATTGCAAAGACACTTGCACCTCAACCCATGCTCATGCCCGACCCCAAAGACCTGAAACGACTAGTTGCTGCCTGGCATTGCTTCTGTCGTTTCTTCTGTGCTTTCATGTGCACAGACATGCCATGTGATGCAGCTAGCTGCCAGCTTCCGGTTCGAATTGGCAGAACGGCTTTTCCGAGAACATGCTGATCGAAAGGTGTCGCCCCAAGCCGTTCTGGACACAAATCAGTCGAGGAAGCCTGCATGACCAACATACTTGCAGTACGAGTGATAATGCATATCATTGCAACCCATGTGACAAAAGGTTTCGATGCTGGTAGGTGCTGCTATTTGTGGAGATGCAAGGGTGTGGGGGATGCTGCGACTGCTCCGGGGTGCCACACAGCCAGGTTGTAGCCTTCTTTTGAAGTAGTAGCAACTTTACGCTTGCTGCTCTCCTGGTCAGCATCGGACCTGTCCCATACATGAGCTTAAACCCTGAACTGACTGAAGCCTACACGCTACACCTAAATCCTGAACCCAAAACCCATCCTGGGCTTGGGTTAGTGGCTTTTTATTGAGTTAAGCACATCATTAGGCTTCAGCCGACACGAAGGCAGTTCTCGGCTAGTAACAGCAGTGGGAAAAAGGACCCGCAACAAAAACACATTCCAATCCATGCGCCCTACACCCCACACCCTAACACTCCTGAACCCCGAGCCGGACGCTTTCAAGGGTAAATTAATACGATGTAATACAAAATAACGTAAGATGGCATCCCATAACATAACATAGCAGAGTATAGTAAACTACACTATAATCATTGCGTAGTGTAATATAGTATAGTACAGCATAATTAACTTAATACTGCATTGTATTGTTTTGTGTTGTGTTGTACTGTATTGTCTCGGATTGTACTGATTATTATGAATATTATTACTAATAATAATAATATTATTATTATTATTTTTGTTGTTGTGATTTATTTTTAATTATTATATAATATTCATCTCATGTTTCCCGGACCGGAGGCCCGGCAAGCACATCGGCAGGATGCCATGGCGGACTGGAGGAGACCAGAAAGGGCTTCGGGTATCGAGCGTGGGGGTTGAAGGTTTTAGGGTTTAGGGTTTAGGTTTAGGGAATCGGGTTTAGGGTTCAGGGGTTTAGGAAGTTGAGGTATTCTTTAGGATGGGGTCAGTTAGGGTGTAGTTTCTGGGTGACTCAGGAACTTGATTGAGGATGTAGGGTCAGTTTCCGAGCATGTTAGGCGCCAGAGTTCAAAACCAAGCTTTGTGAAGCTGCATCGCGGCATCAGATTGCATGTGATGTGCATGCCGAACCCGTAGCAGTCCTTGCAGGCCCTCGAAGTGCTCAGCCGAGTCGGAAGCTTCAGTGTTTATAATATATGGGCTTAGACAAGTACCCATGCCATACTGTTGTAGGGGCTCATAATAATGATGATCATCATAATCTTCGCAAGAATAATTCTTCTTAGTTATTGCATAATATACCCAAACAAAGCCCTATTCTAAGTTTTGGGGCCCCTTTCTTTGTACGGAGTGAGAGGCTGCACTGTTGAACGTCGGAGCCAAAGGGTCTGGGGCTACGTTGGGCCTCAGAGCCTTACAATCGAGTCCAAGCCCTACTGTTGATGATATAAATCCTGCATTACCTTAAGGACCCTAAACTATGGGAATTATGGTATATTCCTTCTTTTGGGTAATGCAGGATTTATACCATCAACCGTAGCTTTAGAGGTTCAGGGTTTAGGGAAGAAGGTGAAGTAACCCAAGGCAGGTCTCTCAGCACCCTGGCCCCACAACAATTCTTAAATCGCCCACCCTGGAGAGGGAGCCTTGTGAGACCATCTCGATGAGTCAGGCTGACCAGCGACGCAGTGTCGTGTTCGGGCTTCCTGCAAGAACGGATGTGAACTATTGCAGTGCAAGCGTTGGGTAAGAAAACAAGTCAGTGAGCTCAGAGGTCAGGGTAAGAAAACAAGTCAGTGAGCTCAGAGGTCACTCATTTTCTTAGCTTGCTCTTCCATGAGAATGTGGCTCTCAGAAATCCAGTGCCCACTCATTTTCTTAATATTTTCTTAGCAAGCATTTGCAGGGAGCAGGTGCTAACACCTCCAACATTCCACCTGCCTTCCTCGTAGTGGGAAGCCGCAATGTCTGACATGGAGATCGTTTCCGATGCCTCTGACGCTGGCGAACTGATTCCTTGTGGAGCATTGGGGCGCTGGGGGGGGAGGGGGGGCGTAAATCCACGTGGAGACAGTGTTAAGAAAACGAGTACTCATTTTCTTAACCGTATTTGCGGCTGGATTTGGACCTGGGGGATGGGGCGG